TGGTACATCATTTTATCACTGTGCATTCCAGTTTAATGGAAACTCTGTTTAGGTAATTCTTTTTATTCCATTTCTAGGAAAACTGTATTTAGATCATTCTTTTCCTGTATTTCTTTAAGAAGTGCCAACTTGTTGGCACTATGTCTTTGTATTTCTGTAATCTTATGGGATTTCAGACAATGTTATCAACCCCACAAAGACAACAGAACAAGACTTCCCAAGGTTCACCCCATGGCATAAGTTAGACCCTCTGACTCCTGCTTTGTGGTGACCAGATCCTGCAGGAAGCAGTGCATCACTGGTTTGGGCAGCGTTAGGTCCTTTGGATCAAGAGAAGACTCAGCCAGGAGCTTTGCCAAGGCCTGAGGTGAGGAGACGCCCCTCTTTTGAAGCAGGAGGTGCCGCCTTCACTAGAGAATTGGCCATTTCCTGGAACTGCAAGAACATTTGTGCTTATCCTATGCTCATAGGAAGGGTGTGTCTGTCCCTCACAGCCTCTGTGGCCTCCGTTGCTGATCCCAGTTGAGAGCAGACTTCAATTGCCGGTCTGGGTAACGTTTAGTGTAATCGTTGGCCCTTGTCAGTCTTGCAGTGGAGAACAGTCGTCACGTGATCCACTCAGAGCCTTCCTCCATCTGTGCTGTTGGTAGTGCTGCACAAGGTGAAGCTGATGGAATGAATGTTCAGGGTTAGTGCAGCAGAACACGATTATGCTTCTCTTTTTGCTTTTGGAGGAAGGCCAAAAGTCTGGAGTTCTTGAGATGAAGTTTTATTTTCTTTGGTTTTATTTTAAATATATTATACATCTTTACATCTTTTTGAGTTTTAGAAAATAGATTTTATGTATTATAACCAGATTATGTATTATGTTAAATACATGTAACAATATTATATATGTGCATTATTTAATTATTTGTGCCACATTTTACCTGACACTTTTAGAAGGTTTCTGAATCTTCCTTTCTGCAGTTACAAAACAGAGTACAAGTTTAGAGAAATGCCCAGGCCTATACTGTCATGGAGAAGGATGTCATTGGCAAAAGCATCAAACAAAAGAATGTTGTTCATTTTATGGATGGACCTACTGTATTTGGATGCTCATATAAATCCAAAATTTCTCTGATAGTCCAAAGATGGGAATAATGAATAAATGCCTCAAAGTGAAATCAGTTGTAAATGGCTCTCATCTGCTGGCAAAATGGTCCAGGAATTCAACACATGTCTTTTGAGGCCGTCTTTTCTGTGCAATTTTCTTCACAAATAATCAAAATATTTCTGAAATCCCAACACCTGTCTGTATAAATGATGTCTCGCAGTGCTACCACCTAATCTGAGATTCTTGTCTTTTAAAGTGGCTTAGAGATGATAATATTGCATCCGGAACCACAGTGTTGTCAGCCAATACTGAGTGCTTTTCACCTGAAGTGTGATACAAATATTCATTACTACTATTCAGTGTCTGTGTGGCTTGATTTGACTGAGGATGTAGGTAAAAATGGGGACCTTCTGGTTGATGTATAGTGTGCTAGGCAGGTGGCCTTGTGAAATGGGACCACTAAAGAAAGACACTTTCGTGATAAATTTAATTTCAAGAGATTGCATCTATGTTGTGCCTCAGTGTTTTAAAATTGCTTTTTATAAATGTCTATATATTATTTGTAGCTTTCATTATTGTCCTATTAAACTTTTTGAGCTACTAATCTCTGCTCCATTCTTCCCTGAAGCACACGTCCAAAATAAAATTTTATGTCCCTTAAAATCTTTAGTTTTTAAGTATTAAATATTTGTAAGCGAGAAATACATTTTATCTTCATTGTCAAAATTTTACTACTATGTAATTGCTTTCCATTGGAGTGAGTCATTTACAACTTCTAATGAAGATTTTAAACTCATCCTTTAATTAGTCTGTTTTGCTGTGTATAATGCACACCCACATTTTTGGTCCAAATTTTCAGAAAAAAATCCTTTCATTTTAATTTTTTAATTCAGTTATTTATTCATATTTAGATACTTGTTTTTTTGTATTATAAAGGAATTTTAGCATTTCTTTTTGAACATACTATGGTACAAGGAATTTTACGTAATAAACAATTAGAAAACATAAGAAGAGATACAAGGTACTTCAGGTACTGCCCATGTATAATGTGCATTCTTATTTTTCCCTCAAATATTTGGGCAAAAACGTGCACATTGTACACAGCAAAATACAGTGTATCTCAATAGAAGTCACTGTGTAATTATTTTTTGAATTGCCTTTGTGATAGGGGGAGGTATGTACAAGCTTAGAGCAAATCAAAGGAGATTCTATCCCTATGAAGGATTGTTGTATCAAATATAAAGTTATGTCTAGTTTCAGTGGATACTAAAAAAGATGTTTTCACTTCAAGCACTGACACTTGTTTTTCCCATTTGCTTTTAAACTTCCAAAAGTAAAGATGTCATAGAAGGGAATGAGGTACTGATACATGGTACATTTTGGATGAACCTTGAAAACATTATGCTTAAGTGAAAGAAGCCAGACATGAAAGGTCACGTATTATATGATCCCACTTAAAAGATATATGAAGAATAGTAAATCCCATAGAGACAGAAAGCAGACTGGTGGTTGCCAGGGCTTTGGGAGAGAAGCCTAATGGGTATTATATCACCTTTGGGGGTGATGAAAATATCTTGGAACTAGTTAGAGCTGATGGTTGTACAGTATTTTGACTACTACATGCCACTGAATCATATACTTTAAAATGGTAACTTTTATGGGATGTGAATTTCACCTCAATAAAAAAAACAACAAAGCTGTTAAAAATAATAAGGATATTATGAAGTATCATATATAGAAAGTACATTTTCAGTAAATGGTATTCAAGAGCCCTGTATTGTGCATTTGCTCACAAAGCAGTCTTTATTATGTGACTCCAATCCAGAGTGACAAGGAGCCCTTCAACCAGTGGCCCCTTTGGGGAGCACGGACACTCGCAGTGTCCAGCATATTGTCAGCGTTCTCTCTGTAGTAGCGTCCCTGTCCGCCTCCTCTGTCCTCTCTCACTACTGACGCTCCCGGCTGTGCTGCTGTGGCAGCCCCTTGCCTGAGCGCCCTGCCATTAGTCAGCCCTCCCCATCCGTTTTCCTTCGGGGCATCATCAGGCTTCCAAGTTTACAACCTCGATCAAATCCAGGCGCTCCTTGGGTGGTAGGTTTTTAGTGGCCTTCCATTCAGAGCGGAGGAGTCCCTACTCCCCAGACTGGCACAGGGTCATCCCCCAAGGTCCGCCTGCTTCTGTCTACTGGTCCCGGACCTTCTGTCTCTTCTCTAAGGCTGTCCTATGCCACAACCTAATATGTGGTCACTTCAAAGCCGCTTGTTGTCCAACTTGGGGCTTTCCCTACAGCTTTTATCTTCCTGCTCCTTCTTCTCTCACCAGGTTGACTTGCTGGGCTCTGACCTGGCTGAGGTCCTGGATACCTTGAAATCCCATGACCCTCCTCTCGGAGGCCTCCTGCCACCAGGGCACCACGGCTCCCTCCACTGACTGTTCCGGGTGTTTGTAGTTCCCCTTGCTGCCCTTTTCAAGGTCGTCCTTACATCATAATTACGTCTATGCATGTGCCGAGGGCTAGCAGTGTGCCCAGAACCATCCACCTGGTGTACGGTGGAGCTAGGATTTAAATCTTGACTTTGCCTGCCTCTGAACAAATATCCAATTGTTTCCTATTGGTTTTGGGGACACCCCATCTTCGCTGCCCCCCTCCTCCAAGCCTGCCTGGCAGGTTGCCATTATGAATAATAGGTTCTGAATAAATACCTCTAGAATGTGCAGCACTTATGCCTCTTTACTAAGGAGCTATGTTTTTAAAGGGAGTGTCCAATAAACTCTTGCTTAAGAGATAAAGAATGAGAAGTTGTAACAGTGCTTCTGTGTTCTGAAATTTTTGTATATGGCCTTTATAGTCCCACTAAATGTCAACATTGATTTGGAATCACTGTGGCCAAATGTTCTCTCTTAGCTCTCACCATTTCCATGTACCTTTTTTTTCCTGGCCTTTTTCTCCCCAATTCCATAGTATTTATATCTGTGCCACTAATTTTGCACCAAACTATATACTATTTTGTATTATTTCCTAAGTGATTTCTTCAGTGTTATGTATTTCCATAATGGTAACAGTTCTATCTATATTGATGAATAAGAAATGAAAGAATGAAAATCCATTCTTGGTATTCATAAACAGGTTTTTAGGAAGGCACTATATGAACCACTTGGAATTATTTTTCTTTGTTTTTGTACTGCCCATCTAGCTATTTGATAAGTATGCATTCTAAGTCTCCAGCCATCTGTAGATCTTTCGTTTATTATCACTATAACCAGATGGTGCCCATCAGTTCAAAACTATTTAGGTTGAAACACAACTGTATTGCTATATTTTCAAAAATTATCTTGGAGAGAAAACAATAATGTTTTAGGCCATAATTTAAACAGAACATTTGTGTGTGTGTGTGTGTGTGTGTGTGTGTGTGTCCTTGGCATTTTCTAGAAGCAAGTATCTTAAGTGGGCTTGAACATTGACAGATTTGGAAAGAGAACCATACTAGGAGATGTTTAATGAGGATTTTGTTTTTCAGATGTACTATCCTTTTGACTCTTTCCTATCATTAGACTCTGCTTGTGTTTAGTTGAAAGTAAACTCCAAGTGGCTCTATGATTTTAAAGAAATGCCAAATTATGTAAAAGATCTTAATTTTCACTTTAAGCTTAGAAGAAGAGTAGAGAGAGGGAGAGTAGTTCTCTAGAAAACAGGTTTCTAACATCCAACTCTATTTAAAGAATTTCAATATCTTTGCCAAGCAGATCTTTTGTTAGGGAGAAAGGTAAAAGTTCTGATGACAGTTATTCATTTAGGGAGCAAGAAAGCTGCTTTTCTACCTTCCCACTGTGACACTGTGACAGAGAACTCTGAAACAAACAAGAATGAACCTCTCCCTGTTTCTCCCTCTCTCTCCTCTGCAGGTTACCTATCTCGGTAAAGTCCCCACCACAGGCATGCAGTTTTTTCCAGGCTGCACAGAAAAACCCGTCATTGAGCTCTGGAAGAAGCACACACTAGCCCGAGAAGACATCTTTCCGGCCAATGCTCTTTTGGAAATCCGACCATTTCAAGTGTGTCTCCATCACCTCGACCACAAAGGGGAGGCCACGGTCCACATGGATACCTTCCAGGTGGCCCGCATTGCCTACTGCACCGCCGACCACAACGTGAGCCCCAACATCTTTGCCTGGGTCTACAGGGAGATCAACGACGACCTGTCCTACCAGATGGACTGCCACGCTGTTGAGTGCGAGAGCAAGCTGGAGGCCAAGAAGCTGGCCCATGCCATGATGGAGGCTTTCAAGAAGACTTTCCACAGTATGAAGAGTGATGGCCGGATCCACAGGAACAGCTCATCCGAGGAGGTTTCCCAGGAATTGGAATCCGACGACGGCTGAAGGAACTTAGGGAGCTTCAGCAAAGGCAGTATTGGTCCAGGAATTCCAGACCATAGATGAATAAGCAACGATTCACATTTCAGATGAGAGACTGCCAAACTATTGGCCGACCAAGCTTTTTAAATTCAGAAGAGCAATTCTAAATCTAAAGAAATGTATTATTAAAGTAATTACGTTATGTTGAAATCTGCTACTGCTGTGACTATGAGGAGGGTGGGAGTATGGATGTTGGGAGTGCTAGACTCTTTCTCTCTCTTTCTCTCTCTCTCTCTCTCCCTTTTTTCTTCTCATTCCCCAGTGCCTCCCGGTAGAAGAGCTCCATGCTGATTTTCACCATTCTCAGGCAAATACACTGAGGCTGTTATTTGATGGACCATTCCAGTTTGCCTTATGAAACCCAGCAAGAACGTTAGATGCGCTTGTCAGATCCCTAGTTCTCGGTGGGGGCGAGGGGTGAGTGCTGATGCTGGTGTGGAAGTCGCAGGGCCAAAAGGAAAGGGTCGGGTGGATTCAATCCTGAGACGCCTCCCCCGTGGCCCGTTTCAGTCTCCTCTCAGTAAGCCAATCAGCACAGCCTTCCCTGAGCTTTACAGCTAACAGCCTGATAGTCGGCAGTTACTTCACAGTTAAAGATAATGCTTTTATTTACATAAATATATCAAGTAGTACCCTCTTATTGTATTCACTTCATCTATTTTCTTAGAATCCTTGCAACGACTAATAACCCTTCCCTCCTCCTGCCCTGTCCACCGCCTTCCCCCTTCCCACCCATGCCAGCGGCCCCACCGGGGCGATGCTCAGCCTACGCTGCAGGACATCACATGCGAAGAAAATAACCGAGCGGATGAAATCAGCCTTCAAGGCAGTCAGGCGTTTAAAACCACCACCACCACTACCACCGCAGAGACCTTGGAGAAAGGGAATGAGTGAACAAAAAGTGAACCAACTCCATGGAAGCTGTCCTTTTCTCAACCAGGATGTCTGGTGACTTGTTTAGTTGAAGGGCCTGTTCGAGGCATCCTGCCTGGCAGGCTTCCAGTCTGATTTGGTGTCACCAAGGAAGCCTGCTGCCGTCACTCAACATTGCGCTCCAATGAGGTCTATAAACTCGGCCTGTCTAGAGAACCTCTGTCCGTCTTGATCTAAGGGGAAACCTGACCCTGCTCTCTTCAGATTGGTAACACCTCAGGGTCGGGATCGCCAGGGCGGTCACTGTTTCTAATGAGAAGTTCTCACTAAGCCTGAGATTGTTCAGTCTCATGGGTCTTTTGATGTCATAAATGCCTAGGGTCAATATTGAATGAAATTGAAAGTATTTGTTAAAATACATACATTTAAGGCCCAGAGCAAATGGCTAGTTTCCCAGGTAATGCTGCTCCTTTAGGAAAGTTCTGTTAATCCCGGTATTGTTAGGGGCACTGGGGCACCTTACAGAAGCCTTAAATGAGAGCTGATCGCAGCTGGAGAGCAATGGTGTTGGCGTTTTGGTCTGTGTATGTGTGTGTCCCTGTACACGTCTGTTTTGTGTCCATGTGCCCCTGTGTGTGGGTCTGGGTTTAAGGCATGTAGAATTAGCATGGAGTCATATTGAGGAGAACCCGCCTCTTGGAGATATGCTTGCTGCTTTCCGACACATGTAAACTATTCTTTAGCATAAATGCATCCATTCTTTAATAAAAATATGTTTGCATTAATAAAGCTGAGGCATTTTCTACTTTGTCTTTCTTTTTTATGCAAAAAATTAGAGCAAATTGAGTCAAGGGAATTCAGTTTAAGCTCTTGTTCAAACTTGGTCACAAATAACTCATTCCTTGATTGTATTTAAAACATTTCATCTTGTGTTCTAATTCTTGATTTATATTTAATTACTGCCCCTTAACCAAGATGGCAACATGTCAACAATGGAAACAGTTATTTAGTTTCCATTCTTTAGTTTAGTTGCCGAACTGATTTCAGAAGAGAGCCTTCTAGAACTGTTTGCAAATGATTAGAATGTATAAAATCTATCCGACACCCTTGGAGCCTGCAGTGAAACCCCGGGAGGTAAACGTGGAGGGATTCCTTCCGACAGCACTGGTTATAAACGTCCCCGCCAGGCCGTGGTTTCTCAGAGCGACCCATTTTTCCAGCAAGGTAGGTGGCCCCGGGGCCCCTGCATCTTGAGCAACACCCTTCTGGAATCAGTAACATAAGCCCTCTGCAGTGAAAATATGGGTGTCTGCTGAGGAGATGAACTGGAGTAAGAATTACTACTAATTCCTCTGAATAAAACGGCATTATTTTCTCAGTTTGAACTTATTTCAATTTGGGGTTTACTCTGTCATCCTTGAATATGCATCTAAGAGGGTGCGGGAAAAAAAAAAGAAAGAAAGGAGCTGGTCAGTATGTATTTCAGAACAATGCCACTTATCTCTCTCAGTACAAACTTAATCCCGAGTGCACATATAATTATTTATTGCAGAAAGTATTTGCTGGGGTTTTTTCAGGGTAATACGTGTGACATGCTAAGTAATTGGCTCTGATAATATCGGCAGGAGCTTTCGCCTGAGATGATTAATACGGAATTTAAGGATAAAGATACAATGACATCTTTGAAAGAGCTAAGAAAGTGCTTTGGGAGAGGCACTGCTAATTCCCCCGAGAGAGGCAATTCACACTGGCATTAATATTTTTTAATGTGGTATTCTCTCTCGTCCTGTACTGCACTTTCTGTACTGGCCCTCACAAAGCGCTGCCGTACACCTTAACTCACTTGCCCCTCAGAAGGACCGTGTAGGTGAGTATGGCATTTACTTTAGAGACAAGGGAGCTGTGGTGCAGCGAGCTTCCAGCTCTGGCCAAGACAGCACAGCTAGGATGTGTCGGAAGGCGACTAGAATCCTCTGAATTCCTTCTGATCCGATGCTGTTGCTCTGTTTCGGTAAGATCCACTACTTCTGAATCTTTTATTTCCATTCCTCTTAAAACCCTCTAGCTTATTTTAAATTGACGTACTTAAACCACTATAAACAAACTTTATTTGTTTGCTATTCACTTCTGAAATCTTTTTGATAGCCATAGAAAGTTTTAAAAGCAAACAAAGGGCCAAGAAGTTTTATGTAGGCACAAATCACGTCATTTGAGATTTTGCTTAAGTATTTTATTGGCTGTGCTTAACAGACAAAATACTCTCACCACCCCTAAAAAGCCAAGATGCATGTTTTGTTTTGTTTTTCTCAGGACATGTGAAAACTCTGAATCAAATCCTTTCATTACAGGATTCTATAGCATCCTGTAATTTCCCTTCATGTCATTCATTGCAGTTTTCAATTACATATTTATTTATATAATTACGTAAATATTTGTTTAAGCCCCTGGGATGTAAGCATCTCGAAGATGGGGACTTTGCCCTTTTTGTTCACATTTTATCCCCAGCTCCTAAGGCAGGACCAGTCACGTAGGGAAAACACAATACGTTTCTGTTAGCAGGATGCATGGAAGGATAGATGGATGAAAGTAAAAATCAATCTGTGAGCCTTTGATTCGCAAGTTCTGGCACAGAATCCTGGGACCCAGGAAGGCACTGCAAAGGCTCTCTTGCCCCCTTTCTTGAAAGGTGAGCAAATGGCTTTTTACTGAAGAAAAACATCACCTTCCTCCTAATTGCAGGAAAAGTCAGTGGCTGCTTGTAGGTAGAAGACTAATGTTCAATGCCGGTTACACGACTGAAACAGAACACATGATATCCCAAGGCGGCAGGCAGATAATGTACTTTCAGACACCTGCATGTATTAGATTACAGAATCCTTGTCATATGTTTGTTTCTGTTTATTTCTATTGCTGAAAGAGAAGACAGAGAGAGAGAGAGAGAGAGAGAGAAAGAGAGAGAGAGAGAGATGGGTGAGGGCATTTTTATTTTCTGACCATGTGAAGTATATGAGTTTAACTGGCTTTTCCCCAAAATGTATACCTTAGACAATATTTTCTGTCTTCTGTTTTTTTTTGCTTTTTTTTCTTTTTTCCTCCCCTCCATCCCTTCCTACCTTAACGATTTAACTGTTTACATGACACCATTGCATACTTTCTCTGATTTTAGCAGGGAAGGGCATCTGCGCTCTGAATCTGAGACGACATGTTTGACTCATGATGCAGAATTTAAGGAGACTGTCGAACACTGCAGATTATCCTAAATTGCTCTTATTTGTTATTATTTTTCAGTCATGGGCATGGTGATAGTTTAATTTTTCATAACTTACTATTTTTTAGCATTCCAAAAATGTGCTATCTTCTCTTATCCTAGATAAACCCTAGACTGAACTGGAGTGAAGGTGAAAATCTCAATAACTGTCAAATTCATATTTATCTTCAAGAAGCTTTCTAATTGGTTATTAAGATTTAGCTTTTGGAGTAATTTTATGGGACACATTGCTCAACCTAAGAACTTGGGGTGCTCCTTCTAAAGAGATGCCAGTTGATAATATGTTGTCACCAAAACAGAACTATGCAAAAACCCAAGCTTAGAATGCAAGACAATGAAATGGGTTTAAGCAAATTGCTAAGAGAAGAAAATCTAAATCATCTTATTTTGAACATTTCCAAGAAAATTGTATTTGTTGAAAATGAATCTAAGATATGGTCTTGTACACAGGAGCAAAGATGACATTCACAAAGAGGTTTGGGGAAGATGTTCCTATTGGAATGCCCTAGTAAGATTATTTAGGTTTTGCTTACACACCCAAAGTTGGTCATTCAGAAAGCATTTGAAGAGTTTTTGCTTAGGAAACTTAACGGCTTGCACTTAAAAACATTCTCAAGTTCCTACTAAGTTTTCAGTAGGTTGGATGGGAGGCTACTCTCAGGAGGTACTGATGTAATCTGAAAATGGAATTACTGAAGTATTACACACATTTTCAACCCCTTCATAACAAATTACCAATAATTATCAATGCTTTCATGCCTATAACTTTATATAAGAACTATTGTCTAAATAAAAATATTTTCATTCCTTTATCTAAACATGCATATTAGGGTGAGGTTGAGTCATTTGAAAGCATTATGAAATTTGTGAAGTAAGACATGTTGCTACATGGGATTTGCTTGATTTCAAACCTGTCATTATGTATCCTGATTGCCATTCCAGAATATTCTTTGTCCTTTGGGGGAAAATTTTAAGGGATACTTTTAAGGAAATACCAACTTGCAAGGAAGAGCCAAGAGCTGACTCCAGTCCAGGGTCAGTTTTTTATGTAAATTTGGAATCAACCAAAACCAAAGCGCATCTCATATATGAACATAGTGGTTCCGATTCCAGTTTTGCACAGGAAACAAAAGCTGATAATAAATTTTGTTATGTTCATAATTGGAATATCTTCATATAGATGATATTATGGGTGTAAAAATATTTTAATTGGAGCTTAGGATGGAATTAGACCTTCAAGTTAGCTGTTTGCCAAATATTTTATTTGCCTTTCTCCATTTAATTGCAAGAGCCTTTCCTACAATTTAGTATTGCACTTTTAGAAATTAGTACAGTAAAACCTCATTAATTTAGATAAAACTAATTAGGAGCTTGTGGGTTTGGCCCTGAAAAGCTCAAGTTTCACACTTATTTTTAGTAAGCAAATAAATAGGATGAATAATGTTATTGTAAATGTTTGCCTCCTAGGGAAAACACTTCTTCTGCATATTAAAATAACAATTTACTAGACATATTTTAATTTCAGTATAACTAGAAGCTGGTACAACTGTAATTGAGGCTTTGATGTGCTGGTTTCAAGACATTCTTCTTTATTTATTAAAGTGGCTTCTTTGACAAGCAACAGATGGTTAATGCAATCCTTGGATTCAGAGCCCTTGAAAGTAAAAAAATTCCTTTAAAAACACTTATTATTTACATATATTTCTCCCTTCAGTTAGTATTATATAAATGTTTGGTCTCGTTAATCAATCCCTCCCTCCTCCCCCAAAAAACTTTAATAACTCCTATTTCTCATAGAAACATAGCAATAAAAGTATTTAAAATTATTTTTCTGATCATCCAGCTTTAATAAATTTCTCATTGCTACTAGTATTTTTTTCCAAAATTATCAAGACACAAAGTGATTGTGGTTCACTCTGTGAACCTCCGTGATTCATCAAAATCACATAACGAGTCAATTATGGCCCATTATATTTAGTGGTCTGGTGTGTATTTGAAGGTCTGCATTGTATAATTTCTTAGACCTGTGACTGTGTTTACAATTTGCATTGATCCACTACCAATCTGACCATCAGGCTCGCTCCACCTGGATGGTGCAGGAGATTGTGAGGGTGACTGGACCCAGGGCGGAGCCTGTGCGCTGCGCAAGCGCGCCTGGTAGAGCCGACCGGGGGGCCGCGTTGGCACCAGCCCGGGTTCTGCCGGCAGGGCACGTCTCTTGGCCCGGGGAGGGCTGTCAGCGCAGAGGACGAGGCACCATTTTTCGATCCATCAGCCAAGAGATGGATTCCTAGAATGTAGATAGTTTTTCTCTCAGGGTAGAAACTTCTTTCACAATTCATCTTAAAATACCAGCTATGAGTTTTACCCATACTTTTTCCAGACACATGAACTATGAAATGACAGATGCTATGCCACACGTTTCATAAACTAAAAGAGGGCATCTGAGGACCACCAGGGACCTAGGGACCACTAATACCTCTAAGA